CTCTACTACTACAACAAAGAAAAAAAAATATTCCATCTAGAATAGATTACATGTCTACCTTATCAAAAAAAATAACTTGAAAAGTTTTATTGGCCATTAGAACTTTTCAATTTATTTATATTTATTCGCATCTCAATAAGCAAAAAAAAGACTAAATTTAGTTAGTAACTGTCTTATCTCTCTATTCTCCTTCTATATAAAAAAAACTATAGCAACATACCCGATTTGAAATTGAAATATATAAAACATTACGTAAGTTAATAATACATGTTAACATTCAAATTTGGAACATTGTAAATAATGATACGGTACCGTATGATTGTATAAATTTCATTATCATAATTATGTTTCAATAGAATGATTTCATACAAGAAAATCATTCCTTATATATGTTTGAGACATGAACTTTTAGTCAATGACGTTACAGTGTTATTTTTTTTCTCCACCAATTAAAAGATTGATAATCGAAAAGAAAACAATTGATTCTCATGAACTCAATAATTGATGAAATGATCATTGTCATCTTTGTTTTCGTCGACGATCAATTCATCATATATGTACTTATTCTCTTTACACTATAGACCAGCACTCAAATACATGATTGACAAATCACTATTTCAAAATACAACATGATACAATGTCATCATTATTGAAAAACAGTTTTTTATTTAAAATATTCCACATTGAATAAAAATTGATCTACAACATTTAAACAATTTGTTCGTATTCAATCAAAAGTAAGAAAGAAAAAGAATCATTGATGAACTAGATGATTCTAGTTTTTCGTGTCAAAACAGGGATAAATAAGTAAATTAAAATGAAAAAAAAAAATAGAATAGAAATAATGTATTCATAAGACTTTTATATAATAATCGAATAGAACGGAATTATTTTATTTTATTTTATTTTTTTACTAAATCATCTAGTAAATTATATTAAAATTAATTTAATTTCTACAATACTAGAGCTTTCAACAGATACCAAAAGTCATCACCATTAAGATTGTGTTGCTATTGAGCTCATCAAGTATTCATAGGACTCTTTTCTATCAGGTTTATAGTAACAAAATTATATTGAGTTCACTACAATCTGTTAAATGATTTACTACAAGATAAAATAAAATTGTTTCATTTTATTCTATCATGAAAAAAAGAATCGAACATATAAATTTGTAATAATCAATACAATATATTCGACTTGGCGTGCTGCCAGCTCCACCACAGAGAGAAATAGAAGCGAGTTTGTGTCGCTCTACACAAAAACATGCAAATGTCTGTCAAATAATGCGAACGTTAGACAAAGGTTTTAGGAAAGAATAAAATTTAAACCAATTACTTATTTTGATAGAGCATTGAATACTATAAAAAGTGAACTATTTGCACTCTGTTTTCTTGTTTCAATATAGTCAAGAGACTTCTTTTTCTTTCGACAGATCAGCAAAAGCATACCATTTTGTTTTTAAAATGTATCTTTCTTAGAGCAGCGATCGTACAGGCTAATGGACTGGAATTTATTTTGTGTATAAGACACTTAGAGTAAAGTAAAATTTGAAAAAACTAATTGAGCCATTGAACAAAAAGGAAAGTTATTACGCCCATAGATGTAAAATCCCTATTGTACTAAATAGTGGAAATTCATTCATATAAGCATATTATTTAGTTTTGAAAAATAAATATAGATGAAATTTTTACATTATTCAAATAAATATCAAGGAAACATTTGTATTTATAAAGCAAAAAATGAAGACAATTTGTATAATAATGATAAATGAATTCTTGATTCAACAAAACTACCATGAAAAAGTTAAAACGAAAATTTTTTCCGTATCCAGATCGAGAAGTACGGGCAGGTAGTGGTACTTTCCAGTAGGATACGATAAGTTTTCCTGCATCACTTCTGAATATTATTGAAGATGTATCGATTCTCGTTCTCTTTTTTCAAGTTTCGATCATAATACATGTTGATTCTGTGAGAATAAGACTGATTTTTAAATATGTTTTACAGTAGAAAATTAATTTATGTAAAAGTAAGAGAAAATCTTTTCGAAAGTAAAAATTAAACTTGTTTAAAATAACCTTGAAATATTGATAAAAATAAATAATTAAAAGAAAAAATTCTAAATAAAAATGTCAAGAAAGACACGGCAGACTTTTGAACTAGAAGTTACTTTGACGTACGTTTCTACTCCAAGTCTGCTGTTTACCCCTTGAAAAATGTTTAAAAAGTGAAATATTCAATTAAAATATTGATCTATGAAAAAGAATCAATTCGACAAGAAGAATATTTAAATTATTGATTGAGTCTAAACATGTTCAATGATGATCATATCTTATAATAATGACAAATTTTATCATTAAAAGAACAATTATTATTGATGATTTAAATTTTAAAAAAAAACTGTGAATCGTTTGTTTCATTTGATTATAAACAGTAGAAATGTATTGATTTATCTATATATATAAAGAAGAATGTTTGTCTGTTTGTTCGTTATGCATTCAGTCCCTGTGATAGCTACGGTCACCAAACTTTCCAGGAATCCTCCTCTCATCCAGGAAAAGGTCAAGGTCTACTTTTTTTTTCAAAAACACTTGATCCTTCGCCCGGAACAGTCTACCTATGTTGCTAACCAATCAAATTGCAGTATTCGGCGCTATAGAACTACCACTGAATACCACTTTGTGAACACACAGAAAACACGAAACGGGAGGTTTTCGAGGGCGGTGAGTTCGAATCTGAGGTCCATTTGCCTCGAAATCTGATTGGTTGTCCGGAAACTAATAGGAATTCAGCTCCTAAGAAAATAGACCCAAACGCTTATACTTTCAAGGAAATGATGGAGCAGGGTTTTTTAGAGGCCGTGAGTTCAAATCTGAGGTCTGTTCGCCTCGAAATCCGATTGGTTGTCCAGAAACCAATAGGAATTCAGCTGCTAAGAAAATAGACCCAAATGCTTATACTTTGGAGGAAAGGATGGGGCACGGGGTTTTTACAGGCAGTGAGTTTGAATCTGAGACGCATTTTCCTTGAAATCTGATTGATTGTTCGGAAACCAATAGGAACTGAGCTTCTGAGAAAATAGACCCAAATGCTTATACTTTCAAGGAAATAATTGGGCAAGGGGTTTTTAGGAGTAGTGGGTTCGAATCTGGGTTCATTCGTCTCAAAATGTGATTGAATGTTTGGCAACCAATAGGAATTTAGCCCTTAAGAAAATGGCCTCAAACACTGATACTTTCATGAGAATGATGAGGCAGGGGGTTTTAGACGTGATCGGTTAGAATCTGAGATCCGCTCGCCTCGAAATCTGATTGGGTGTCCGGAAGGCAGTAAGAAATCAGCTTCCATGAAGCCAGCTAATCAAATTTGCGTTTTCAGGAGAAAAGTTAGGTAAGGGCTTTCTGAGGCAATGAGTTCGAATAAGGGATTCAAGTACTGAATATGAGTATAGGGTATGAAAGTCCGTATCTTCTTCTGTTTATATAAACAACGACGATTGTTTTTCACTTCTTTGTGCATTTGATGTCGGTAATAACTAGCGTCATCAAACATTCTCTGGCATGCCCCTTAGTCTAGAGAAAAATTGAGACGAGATTGGCGCGACAAACAAGGAAAGGAAGGCAACTGGGCGTAACTCTACTCAGGTTGTAAAAATCGAAAATTCCCTAATCTCTATCTCTATCTCTAATGTACGTTAAGAAAAAGAATTTTGACAGGCTATGTAAAGAGTGACCATGTATTCATATCGGGAACAGTCGTGGCTCTTACTGATATACTGTTTGAGTTCAAGCGTCTTCAGTTACCTGTACCTGTTGCCTTCGCGATGTCCAGCAACAACGCTGGGGAGCAATTGTTTAAGATGGTTGGTATTAATCTAGAGAGTTCTTCCTTTTCTCATGATCAACTTAAAGTAGTATGCTCGAGAGTTGGAACTGGAAAGAATTTCTATGTTTTAGCCCTTGATGTGAAAACCAAGAAGTTTGTGTATCAAACAGCTTTGAAATAGACGTTATATTTAATCAAACAGTCTTTTCTAATAAAAGAAGTCGATCAAACAAAAAGAACACTGAAAAGGATAGAAATGTTTTTAAAAAATTGTAAATGACGAAAACATCAGTTGAAAACGGAAAGTAATCTGAGCATATTTTGCGATATCGAATTCCGAAAATTGATTGGAGATCATAACGATATTGTTTTCTAATATGTCAAGTATATATTATTAAATTATCTCGACTAACATCGGGTACCTCCGCTAGTATATATATAGAAGAGAATCGATCAAATAGAAGAAAAAAAACGAAACGAAATGAAATGAAAAGAAGAGATAATAATTGATGAAATAAGTTTAAATAAGTCACTGATAATAATAAAATAAGCACCGGATGATAAAAGACTAGAAATCAGTTGTATCCCAGGTGAAGGTAATGTGCTATTCCTAAAAGAAGATATTCGATTATTATTTGATTTTCCAACATTAACACCATCATTTGTCGTTGACGTTGAATCTGTTGACAAATCTGTTGTTGATTCATGTTCAATTGTTTTATCTTCCATTGTCGTCGAAAATTTTTGTTCATTATTTATTTTTAATAATGGAAAGGAAAGTTTTTGTCGTGGTTGAACTGTTGGTGAAGTTGATATAAGAAGTGATGGTGCTCCAGGACGATCTAATTGTGTTCCTTCGCTTGGTGTACGTCAATGAATTTTATCATTCGGACTAAAACTTGATGAACTTCTTACTAAAATAATATAATTTTATTTAATTATTTTCAAAATGATTATTTTTAAGTTTAATTAACGATCGAAAGAGCAATGTTGATTATTTATATTTATTTAAACAATGAACGAAGAAAGCAAAGAATATACTGATTTAACGAACAGTTATTTATATATATATGGCCATAAAAGCGAGCATAAAAAGAAACAGAACCTCTTGCAAATTTTTTTCATAATTTCTTGATCCGATTAGATTCGGAAGACGATTCTTGATATAAGCATTTGTTTTATTTGTTTATCTTATTTAAATTAAAATCAGATGAAATATTTTCATAATTAACTTGTTCAACTGATGTTTGTTGATTAATTGAAGATGATGTTGGTGGACGAGGTGCTTTATTTTTTCGATGTGTTCCAGGAGATCTAGATGTATTTTATTTTATTTTATTTGAATAGAATAAATAACATACGGTTGAGGATATCCTGGTGTACTTTGAATATCTAATAAATTTTCATTTGAAACACTTTGACTTTTCTATAAAAAAAAAATACGGAATGAAATTCAGTTGGAATAAGATCAGGTTGACATTTAAATGATTTCGACGTTTGTTCTTGTTGAGAAGAATTTGTAAATAATTGTTTATGATGAATAATCATAAGTTCAAGAATAGTTGAAGCAGCTGCATAAGAATTTGAAATCGATTGTTGGGATGATGATTGATCTTTACCATATAATATACTACATCCAATACAAATACCTAAAAATTTATATCAGGTAAATTATTTATTAATCGAGCTATTCGTTGTAGACGAGCTTGTTCACCACTAAAATTTAAATAGTTTTATTATTTTTTTTATATATTTATTTAAGAGAATAAATTAACATAATCTCAATAAAATTTATACAAACATATTTACTTTGCGAATGAGATATAGTAAACCAGAATTTCATAAAACTTTAAAGGAACTCAAGTCAATTTATTGATAGGCAACTATTCGATACCGATAGCTAAGCATGGTATATGTTACTGAACATTGTGCTTATTGATATTAGTCGAAAGTATTTGTAGAATATTTTTTCTCACATATGATTTTGTAGAGTTTATGACGAGTTAAAATCTTATATACGTAGCATTGTTTTATGAAAACATAATTTGCTATATTTCATTCAATGTGCCTGAATAGATTACCTTGTCTGATGATAAGGATTAGAACCTTTGGTCATCTCTAAGTAAATATATATATAGAAAATGAAAATATATTCTTATCTACCTAATCTTCAATTTTCTAATCAGCCAATAATCCTATTGTTTAGGATTTATATAAGAAAAAAACAACGAATAAATAAAATTATTTTCAAAATATTTAACTATGATTGTATTATCAAAGAAATTGGATAAGTAGAGATTTTTAAAACAAAATAAAATAAAAAAAAGTTTTTTCTCTACTGAAAAAACTTAATATATATAAATCCTCGATCGAATCTATCATTCGTATTGAATTTCTCTACTAATGTCCGTTTAAAAATAGATTGCGTCCCACTATTTTTTGAATAACTCAAGAACGCAATCAGCTAGAGACCTGCGATTTTCACCAATCGAAAGAAGAGACAGGGGGGGCGTCTTTTTTTCCAATATCGTATCAGACGGAATCATTTTGAAACCAGTCATTTCTGCATAACATCGAAACAATGGTCTGTCATTCAGATGAAGTTTTGACAAAAAGTGAAGAAATTGATAGTTTTATTGCGAGTAAATAGACGATTTTATTTGCTAAACGTTAGGATGCGGTAAGATAATCATTCGAATTATATCCTGAAGTATAGATCCGAAGTCCCTCTATCTAGATCACATGTCAAAAGCAAAAATTTCTTCAGAATGCCGCTTCGTTTTCATGCATTTTTGCAATGTTTTGCAGAAATGACTGATTCTAAAATGATTTTATCGGATATAATATTGGAGAAAAAGACGTCCCCCTGTCTCTTCTTTCGATTGGTGAAAACTGCAGATCTCTAGCTGATTGCGTTCTTGAGTTATTCAAAAAAAAGTGGGACGCATTATATTTTGAAACGGACATTAGATTCGAATATTTATTGAAAATATTTCTTAAAGATTGTCAAATATTTAAATATTAAAAAAAAATGTATGTATATAGCTGTCAACGTTCAAACTGAGATTACGTCCAATCTCAGATTGGCCTAGGCAAATGTCGGATTGACGTAATTCTATTCACTAAAATATCAATAACTATTTATCGTGAAAATTTTTTATTAAATTTTTTAGTCTAATTTTAACTTTTTCCTAAATGCTTGTAAAACTTGAAACGGCATTGTGCGAACATAATTTCAAAACATAGTTCGAATCCAACGTCTATCAAAAAAGTTATTGATATTTTAGTGAACAGAATTGCGTCAATCCAACATTGAACACGTCCAATCTCGGATCTGAGATTGGACATAATCTCAGTTTGGACGCTGACAGCTATATATAT